AATGAGATAGAAAATAATAAACTAAGGAGAAAAAGGAACTATTACTTAAGCCCTTTCAAGATCTGAAGCAATGGGTAACCCTTTGTGATAGCATATCATGAACTCAAAAACAACCCTAGCAGGCCCTTCCTGGTGGCGCAGCGGGTTAAAGCACAGCACAAAGAAGCTTAAGCCACTTCTGCATGAGTTCGATTCCCACCTGCCCCGGAGGAGATCCACATGGTGCGGCAGACCTCTCCTGACCTGGCCGCCGCTCCCCTCAGCAGTATACTTTGTTGATCTGCCTGTTCTGCTCCCTTCTCTGTCTTTGGTGGCTCCTCTCACCCTCCGCATCTCTGGCCTGTACCCCAGTTCTGTACGAATAAATAAATAAATCTTTAAAAAAAAAACCCTAGCAAATTGGTATTATTATCTCCATATTTCATAGGAAATAGGCTCAGAGAGGTTAAATTAATTGCCCCAAGTCAGAGAACTAGAGAAGAAGAGAAGTAGGGCTGGGACCAGTTATGCTGGCTAGCTGTTGTCTACCAGCAGGAAGCATTTGAATTCTCCTTTTAAAAATTGTTCTCTATATTAGGATTATAAACACATTAAAGGAAATTTGAGAAGAAAACATTTCTCCTATGTTGTTTATATACAAACCTGCGCTTTGAAGAGGCTGAGATCACGGGGTTCATACATGTCCACATTCTGCTCTCCACCTGCCAGTCTAACATAAGAACTTCCCACGTCCCCCTGCCACCCCTGGTCACATGCTGCCGTAATGAGTTATCTATCATCACTGTGATGGCCCTAGACACCCCATCACGAACATCTCTGTTGAAAGCCCTTGCCCCTCTTTCTTTATTTCCTTATTTATTTCAGGGTAGGGTGACATGTTTAAGACAAATGAATACTTTATTATGATTCTTCACTTTCATTGCCGAATTGCTTTCCAAAGGGGTTATATCAACTTGCAAGGACAAGGCAGTGCATTTTTTAAGGGCTGCTTTTAAAGCTACTTAATAAAATTTCTTATCTCATAAGAAATAAAATTCTATATGGAGCCAGGGGTCTCGATAATGTGTAAATCATGATCAGCAGCCGAAATGTCCTTGGAGAACCAGCCAGTGATGGGAGTCAAGTGCGTAGTAGGTAGAGCAAGAACTCTAACTATGGATGATAATCCTGGAAGGGCAATACAAGAGAACAAGCTCTTCCACATTTTCTTAGGGGACTCATGTTCAATTTTAGAACAGTAAAGAAAAAAGTTAATTGATCAAATGAATTACTACCACAAAGTATTTGGTATCATTTGTTCTTTACAGCGAACAACCACAACTTAAAAAACTTCTGCATCTATTCCTACTCCCCCCAGCTTTGTTGAGGTGTAACAGGCAGATTAAAATTGTTTAAGATGCACACCGGAAGATTCAATATGCCCGTACATTATGAAAGAATTCTAACAATTGAGTTAATGAACACATGCATCTCATTACATATTATCTGTGTGTGCATAAACACTGAAGTCTACTCTTTTAGCAAATTTCAATTATACAGTGCAGTGTTATGAACCATAGTACCCATGGCACACATTTGATCCATAGTATTTATTCCTTTGACAAATGAGATACTGTATCTTTTTCTCAACCTCTCTTATTTCCTCTCCTCTCCTGTCCTCTCATGCAGGCCTTGGCAATCACCATCTGCTCTCTGAGTTTGATCTTAGGTTTAAGATTCTACATAAGTGAAAACAAGCAGTGTTCATTTTTTTCTCCATCAGGCTAATTTCACTTAGCTTAATGCCTCCATGGCCACTTACATTGGTACAAGTGAGAGGAATTCCTTCATTTGTGAGGACTGAATAATGTTCCACTAATATATATATAAAATTAATAATATAATTAATATGTCTATATATTGTCCTATGTATACATTATATATATAAAAGACATTTTCTTTATTCATTCATCTGTTGATGGGTTGATGGACGCTGTAAGTGTCCTGTAAGTGGCTGTTTCCACACTGCGGCTATCATGTACAGAACTGCAGTGGACATGGAGGTGCAGACATCTCTTTGAGATAATATTTTAGCTTCTTTGCCTATATACCCCAGAGGTCGGATGGCTGAGTCACATCTGTTCTGCTTCTCACACTCACATAGGTACAAAAAGTGGTTTTATTAACAGTCGCATCTATGCTTTATTATATGTTTATTGCCTCTCAATCATGTGCTGCATACTTTATGCACATTGCTTCATTTCTTCTAAAAATAATGTCCTAAGTTGCTGTCATTACCTGCATTTTGTAGACAAGGAAACCAAGCCAGAACATAAACTCCCTGAGGGCAGAGATATCTGGTTTGCTCATAGGTTTATCCCAAGTGCTTAGGAGCACACAAAAGTTGCTCAATAAACAGTGGCGCCTGGGTGAGGCTGCAAGAGCACAGTAGACTCCCCAAGGTCCCGGGAAGCCAGTGGTACAACTGGGATTCCAACCTGGGGCCCCTGGACACACCAGGTTCTGGTCACTCACCCCCTGCTCTGCTGCCTCTTATGGGGACAAACAGGTACACTCCATTCTGGCCACTCACCTGACTCCAGCTCCCCGCAAACCACTCCACCTTGCCCGTGCAGGGTCCGTTGTCACAGGGGGTGGCCTCTGCTGGTCGATTGTTCCCACAGCCCTCCAGGGGCAGGCTGCTGATGTGGTTGGTCATGCACACCACCGAACGAGTCCGCACTCCAGCCCCACACTCCGCCGAGCACTGGGGATGGAAGGAGGCATGTTAGGAGAAGGGGAGATCCCAAGGCTTTTGAGGTCATTTTCAGATAATTTGAAGGAGAACCCAACACCTGGTTTCTGTACCAACTCTTCCTACTAAAAATCTCTGAACACTTTCATTTATAACTACTCTACTATGGGATGTCATCATGGCAAATCTCTACTGAAGATGTTCTAGGACAGCCTGCATTCCAAACATTCTATCCCGTTACCTGTCAGATTACCTGCCCTGGCTTTTGCTTTCAAAAATACAGTCAGAAGCAGAAAAATGAGGACATGAAAAGGTGGGCACATGTCTACCTGCGAGCAGCCGAGTCTGGCTGAGTCAAGAAAGGGCGGGAATTAAGTCCATCACCTCAACATTGCTGCCTAACATTAAGGCAGATGGTTCTGGTCGTTGATGTTTCTAGCCGTGATACATTGGGAGGCAGTCTGGCACAATGAAGAGCCTCACCTGGGACCCAGACTCACCAGCAGGCTGTTAATTCAAAGTCACATAACTATTAGTGATTTTTCTACACAGCCATCCTCCGTCTTCACCCAGAGCAAACATGTTCCTGACTCAACTCCAGAGCTCATAGAACATTTCTATCCATTCTCAAATACTTTTGAAATGTCGCCTTCTTTTGCTTCTTATCCTATATTTTCAGGAGTCTTCATCTGGGAGTCTCTCAGATACTTTATAAACAATAGTGGACAGCACCTTCACTCCCATTTCCATTCCTTCTCTAGAGTTTCCAGATTTTACATCTGGACTCAAGAAAGTTGATTGCTCTTCTGTCATCTTGCTGTCAAACTCTAGCCAGTCATCAGGTCTTAGAGATTCTAGTTTAACCACATTCCTCTCATCTGTCTTGTCCCTTCCTGCCCATGACTTCCAACATCACTGATGTTCTTCCTCCCAGACTGTGCTCAGAGCTTCTTGCTCAGTCTCACCAACGGGGCTTCCATGCTGAGAATCCCTCTGGCGTTATCTTGGCCCAATAAAATTCACACACAGGCAAACTCAGCTGGATTAATGGTTTCCTGTAAGTGGCTGCTATATATTCATGCTTCCAGACCAATTTCCTATTGCCCTACCCCACACATCTCAGTCTGGCCAGAGCCAGGCAGGGCTCATTATGTCCTGATCGCATGAAATGATACAAGGCCTTGCCATATTATTCCTTCAACCTGGGGTGCTTTTTCCTTTCCCCAGGACTTTGAAAAATCCTGGCAGACTCGGTTCAAATGCTATCTCCTTGTGAAGAATTCCTTCATTGCCTGATTCAATATACTCTTCCTAGTCTCAGAATTCTCATGCACTCTATATTCTGCTACCTTCCTTTGTATTCTAGCCATATATGTTCTGTCTTGTTTTCTTTATAGAAGCAGGACCAGTGTGGGCAAGGGCTGTCAAATCATCTTTAATTCTTTTTCAGGCCAGCCCCTTATTGATGGGTAAATCCATGCACATCATTTGGACAACTGTATTTAGACGTGGGCCTCCCCTTCGCTTACTCTTCCTCTCTCACCAGTTCCTGTCTATCCTGAATGTAGCCCTTCAGAGCA